CCGAATTATCTTGAACCCCCAAATATTTATCTCTAGGGGTGATGGTTTAAGACCTGATGGTATGACAACAATACCCTGGGCCGTCGTTAAATATCTAATATGGGAACTATGCATGTGTTTTTTTTTATTCCCACTCAAACTTATAATATCCAACACCCAAATAATACAGGCAGAAACTATTGAGATTAACAAATAACAAAAATTTTAATAACTTCATGTTCACTCCAATAACGACTTCTACAAATGGCCATTTTTCGCCATTAACATTATGCATTTTTTTAAAAAAAAAATCTAGGCGATAAAAATCCTGCTTTTTACGTACATACGAAAGCCGGAGAATAATTTTTACATTTGCGGCCCACAAAATTTAAATTTAGAATTTTTTTTAGACTTAATTTTGGTTCCCTTTTGGGAACTCAATTATAAAAAATATATTTTCAATTATATATTTTTTTTAAAATAAATTACAATATGGTTATATTAAATCAATAAAAGTTGTTTTTTTTATTCATAAAAAAAACAAAAAAATTATTTTAAAAAACTTGAGATGAAATTGAAGATAAGCATCACTTTGTATTACAAATTTATACATCAGTGGCATTGGGATTTTATTTTTTATATTGAATAGGCCCCCAAATTTTGTTTTTGGGTTTAGATATTATTTTTTGGCTAATTTAGAAGTGGATTTATTTCCCCTTTTTATTGAGGAATTTTTTTCTTTCCTATTCATGTCGTTTTTTGTTTCATATTTTATATCCCCTTTTCAGGGCGCGGTGGGGAAGGAAACAGTATAAGAATAAAAGGAAGGGTAGGTAGGGATAAGGCATCTAATGAGAGTTAAATTTACTGGAGAAGTTACCAATCATATTATTTGGATTTAAATGAGGTAAAATATTGCGGTTAAAAGTTCATTTTTATAATTGAATTACACATGTCATCCTAATACACATGGATTACTTACTATATATCGGCAAAATCTATAAAAAAAAATAATTTTTATAATGGAATGGAATCATCTTGGCTATCATGAAAACCAATATTAATTTTAGTTTTTATAATTTAATTATCAATTAAATTTATAATTTTTTTTTTGCTTCAAATTATCCCATGAACAAAGCATATACATTATTCTAAACTCTGAAATTTATCTTTAAAAGAAATATCAGAAAACCTGCAAGCATTTTAGAAACCAAATATTTGAAATCAATATCATTAGCTATAAAATCAAAAATAAATATTAAATGTTTTTAAAAAAAAATCCGGCCCGGACCTTGAAATATAAAACCCGGACCGGGAAATTTTGAAAAAAATCCGGCCCGAACCTTAAAATTTAAAACCCGGACCGGGAAATTTTGAAAAAAATCCGGCCCGAACCTCAAAATTTAAAACCCGGACCGGGAAATTTTGAAAAAAATCCGGGCCGGGCCGTGTAAATGTTACCTCTGCAGGTCTCTAAGAAATAATTATATGTTATTATTCACGTATAACGCAATATATTTAATGGAAGAGAATGCGATTTTACTTTTGGCCGTGGATGGTTAATATGGTAATCATAATAACGATAAACTTGATTTTGTCAATTATCCTTCTGATTACACGGGTAATTTTAAAATTTTTAAAATGCAATATTTACGATAAACTTTAGATTATCTTTTATAAATCAATAGCATATACAATTAGAAGTGTTGCAAGAGCTCGAAGCGATTCTTTAAGAATTTTTACCCAAACTGGCCCGGCCCGACCCGTTAAAATTTATTTTGTCCAACCTGCCCTGGCCTGTTAAAACTTTATTTAAAGTCCGTCACAGATTGTTCGAATTTTTCGGATTAAACTTTTAATGTCAATTAAGGCTCCCTTTCTCCTTTTATGGCTATTTATTTGGGTAATAAGGTTTCTAGAGGATCATTGTCACCATTTGTATTGCGTATCTATTATTGAGTTCATATTTTATTTGACTTATTTAAGTTGTTCTTGTTTAATTTTACTATTAAATATTTATAGATTTAATATTTTATTTAATTAAACAGAGAAAATTAACATTTTTGTATTTTTTTTTTAAATAGCAAATTTCAAAATATTAAGTTAAAAATCAAAAAAAATAAAATAATATATATATCAAAATTTAGAGGAAAGATTTTTTTTATTGTATTAATTCTCAGATCCACATATTTTATTATATCTAATTTCCGGGCAGAATTTTTTTTATGTGCGAACTTGCCCAACCAAGCCCGTTAAAAATTTGCCGAGCGCAGCTCGTTATAGTTATTTAATGTTATCGGTCCGCGTGGCAGGCCGGTCTTTTCAGGTCTTATGTATAAGAATATATCAGATATATTTATTGAAACCTAAATAATTTTTATTAATATCATGTTTTAGCATTCCGATATGAATAACGTAATATATAACGTTGTCACCTTAATATTCATATTCTTTTGGGTAAGTTATAGTTTTTTTTAAAAATTAATATTTCTTATTTACATTCATTTTAATTCTTTTCCTTTTTTTTCTTCCAACTTTCTTTTTAATGTTTACTATTCCTTTCTTTTTTTCATTTATCTCATTCCCCCTTTCCTCATACTTTTTCTTTCTTTCTTTCTTTCTTTCTTTCTTTCTTTCTTTCTTTCTTTCTTTCTTTCTTTCTTTCTTTCTTTCTTTCTTTCTTTCTTTCCTTCCTTCTTTTTCCCAACCATTTATTTTCTTTAAAAAATTCTTTAACCAAAAAAAAACCCGATAACATCTACATATAGATTTATTGTTTGCTTTGCGTCATATCTCATTACCAAGAGCTGGGTCGTTGAAAAAATGAAGAAAAAAAGATGGAGGATATTTGAAAAAAATAAATTAATGCATTATGCTTTTGTATTTAAAATATATTGTGTATTGTATAATGAGTGTAAAAACCAAAAATATTTATTTTATTGTTAGAATTTTCTTATGACTGCGTTCAAAATATTCAAATTTATTTAACAAGATAATTTACAAAAATGGCATCAAATCTTTCGAATATAAATAATTAATAAACATGAGGGCCAGAACATGTTTTGTTTGAAATTTTGTCAAATTTCCCATATCTTTTTATTGTAAGGTTTCCAAGTTTTATAATTTTCAAAAGTTTTGAAAACAAATTTTGGTCCTAGTCTTTAATATAATACCTTTTTAAAATTTTTATATTAGCTTTTACATCTCGTATAAAAAAAATTAAATGCCTTTTGTTTACTCCAATTTTATTATATAACGATATTTATATAGAGGCTCATAAATCATGGATATGTTTTCACTTTTTACAAATCTTTTATGCCTATTAGCAGACTTAGGTTGCAAATTAGAAGGGGTAGATACAAATACATTGTTTAAAAATGGATCTCGATACATCTTCTAAGAAAGTGCCTTTTTTAATGTTGAATACTCTATAACATATTTTTCAAAGAAATTTTGCAAAGCCTGAAGATTTTTCGAATCGGTGGCACATCATCTATTTGCCAAATCTTGAAGCTTATGACAAATTATTCTGGCTAAATTATTGAGTTGAGTTTAATAAACAATTTTCCAATAGTACATTTTTTTATTATAATTTATGTAAAACATGCATAATAACTAAATTAAGATTCTATTGTTTGGATTCAAATTTTGAAGTGATCTAAAAAAAAAATATTCGATTGAATTTATACAATATATATATATATAATTAAAGATAATTCATTGTTAAATTTATACATAAATAAAATACATTTAAATGATCAATAATAATTGTTGCATTTCGCCAATACATATGCAAAATATAATAATTAGAATAATTGGTAGATTTTAACAATAAAGCTTTATCAATATTTTTATCATTAAGGCACTTTCATTAATTTCTCTAGCTTTTTATAATAAGAAAAAAACTCGGACATAACATTTAATGAATTCAATTCAAATATTGTTATTAAAAAAATGTCGAAAAATATAATATTAAAATTTATCTAAAAATAGATATAGATAGTTCTACTAGAATATGGGGACCTTTTATAAAAGTGTATAAAAATATAGGTACCAAATTTTTGTATCTAGATTACTAGTTATTTATAAAATCAGTAACAAAGGCTCCCTAATCAATGAAATTTATGTAAACCTAAATTCAAATCTTAAGCTGCCTATTTCGAAGATATTAGGATAATACAAATGAAAATAATTTACCATTATTCATAAAAAATAATTAAATGTTTTATATGATGTAAGAATCGTTTTCCTTATCCAGCACAGATAGTTCTCCAGACCGAGTTTTGATAGTCCAATTCTAATTCAGGCCGAGTTACGTTGGCTTTTGTTCAGATCCGCTGTAAAATAAAATAAATTACTTGTTAATTAATATAGCTATCGATCGATTAGTAAATTTATTTTATAATAAGAGTTTAAAAAAAGGCTTTAAATAGTTTTATATAAAAATTTTACTATTGATAAAAATTCGAAATTAGTTAGGGACAGATGTATATTAATGCATTCTTTAGAATTTAAAATATCAAAAATTTAGGAAATATTTCTTGTCAATTTATATACTGAAGGATTAACATATTAATATGGTTAGCAATGTCTTTTATATTCATTCTATTAATTCAGGTATAGGTAAGAATTTTTTAGCGAGCTCAATTGCGACATTATTTCAGAATTTTTCATTTGCATCTTGAATTAATTAGGCATTTTAAGGGTCACATACAATAGCATTACCTCTTATAATAGGTTATAAAATAATGGAATTAATATAGAACAATTGATAAAAAAAAATTATCAAACTTTGATAAAGATTTATAAATGATTTGGGATAAAAAAATAGTGTTTCATATGGTTAAATATTTTGAAAAAAATATGAAACTAAAAATAAATAAGTGTAATACATATGAGGGCCTAATATTCTAATAATTGTTTTAATAAAAATAACATATGCAGCCTGTAAATTCCTTGTTTGGCAAATCTCAAAATTACTATACGTTACGTTGGCATTAGCCAATTTTGAGAATATTTGATCTACTTTTATCCTTTATTAAACATATGTTTGCAATATTTATTGGTACATATGTAGCTACATCATATGTATTGTTTAAATATCCACAAATATTACACAAAAAGAAAAATAATACATTAAAATGTCGTAATATATGCCACAGAGGAGGTTTTTTAAATATATTATTATTTGTACATATAATTTAAATAGGATCCTGGGAAAATGTAGAAAATACCATTGAAGCATTCCAAAAGTTAAGAAAATAATATTTATTGTAATATTACAATTCTGAATTGAAAATTAATGTTTGTGAGATATTCTTTAAATACATATAAAGATTTATTCATCTACATACATAATTGTTTAATGATACAACTTAACTTTGAATATTACTGTATAATTTAAATAATTTTTGTTTCTAAAGCTCTATTCAAAATTCGGGAAGTGATATGTTAGAGCTGGATTGCCATCTTACAAAAGATAAAAAGGTTGTAATTTTGGAAGTATAAATAATAATAATATTAAAAAAATAAATTATTCATTTGGCAGAATAAATATATTAAAAGAACAAAATTAATTAATAATGTTTTAAAAATTTAAGTGTTATAAATTTTTTTAAGTAAAAGTAAAATTTTAAAAAATAAATAAAATTATATAATTTTTATAAATGCAAACTAAATTATCTGAGATATTTAACAATTGATATTTTATAGTAGACAGGTATATCTTGAAATTTCTGCAAGAAACAAGGTGCCCATATTTTTTTTATTTGTAAAATATTATTTTTATAATTTAAAAAAAATTCTTATTTATCTTTAAGATAAATTCAAGATGAGCAGACAATCAATTTTAATTTTTGGACAGGGCTTTTTAAAATAAATCTATTAAAAATTATTCATGGTCCAACTGGATTGGGCAAATTTGTTTTAAAAAAATTTGGGGTTGTTCTTGGCTTGAAAAATTAGGCCCAATGTGGATCTTTAGTATCCATGGTTTTATAGCCTAGAGATTAATATGATCAGCTTGTTTAATTTCTTACCCTGTCCAAACAAACATTATACATTGGTTGCCTGACCCAACTTGACCAATAATTATTTTTGGGTATCGAACAAAGTTAATTAGCTTTTAAGATTTTTAAAAAAAGTCTAATTCAAAAAAAATAAATTTTTCACAACTTTTCTAGCCCATAAGAGCCTGGCTTTGGGTTGGGTCATATATATATATATATATATATATCTCATTTTGAGGCAATATAAATGTTGATGTTTTATGCTTCAAAGGAATTTCATAATGGTAATAGTAAATGAACTTCTTTACCAATCATGGGATCATTTAGGTCCGGAGTAGCGTAAAAAACAACCCTGTTCAAAATTTTAAAAATTAAAGTCCTGTAGGTCTATAAAAGAGGGAACAAGTATTACTCTTTGGCATATATCCTTCAGCTGTTTGAGCTATATTGGAATATTTTAAAAAAATATACATGTGATTATAACTGAGCAAGGAGAATAGACATTTTAACTAGAAGATTAACATTTCACATGCTGAATCCTTTTTCACTAATGGTGGAACTATAGTGAACCGGGGATAGGTGGGCTCTTATAAAATGCTTGTTCTTACAAAAATTTATGAAAAGTGTTAGGCAATATTTTCTCGTTGTTTTAGATATAAGGAATAATGACAACTCCTGTAATATTTAGATTTCAGATTATGGATGCTTCAGTCCTACATTAAATGATAAATGTGTTAAGCATAAAATTTAAAAAAATAGATATATATATATTTATGCATATATTCATATTTGAAAAACAATTTTTGTTAAAATTTTAATCTATCCTTAAATTCAACAAATTTCAAGGTTGTAGTTGTACACGATAATGAACTAACACGCTTGACTGGCAAAGCTATTCAAATCGCCACCACAGATTATAAGGTTAAATATCAGATTTTGCTCATAATGATTATCCACCTTTTTTTATATTAGGCATTATATTTAAAAACTGGCCTTCAAGAGTAACGAATTATCCAAAAAAGTATCTGTCGATACTTTTCGCTGCTTTATAATAAAAAAATTGCGCATTACAAATTACCTTTATAATTCCTTTTTCTTAAAATTTATTTAAATTCTGTTTTTTATGATAAAAAGCTTAACAATGACAAATCATTCATTATTATTTTTAAAAAAATTAAGTGATCATTTCAATCATTTATTCATATTTTTTTAAGGGGAATATAATGAGTTTTATCTGAATTCTTTAACCTTTGCTTTTGATCTCTGACAATAACTACAATGCTCATAGAAAACAACATTGCATTCACTAGAATGATACATCTAAATTGTCAATATTCAATCAATGATAAAACCATAAGGGGGCTTGTCTATTATCATAAAGGGCATCAAACAAATCACCCCGAAAACACATGTATCTCTTTGTTCTTAATCTTGTTCCGTTAGAGAGAACATCCTTCACTGAAATCATCATAATTCTAAGAAAAAAATAACTTTACTGAATCATCAAAAATCAAATAGTCACAATTAGCTTTACCAGGATTTTTTTGCTAAGAGTCAAAAATCTTATAAATCTATTGAGTTTATGATATTATTTAAAAAAATTTATTTGTTCCTAATACATAAGAAATATATATTGTTGTATAAAACATAAAAGTCATCACACAAAGCTACATTAAGAAAATAAAGATAGACGAACTAAAGTAATTTTTAAAGAAAATATAATTATGATTCAATAAATTAGAAACCCTTTATTACTTAGAAATTTAATCCTGAAGAATTTGACAGGATCTTTAGCTTAGAATTCTGGGTACATGTTTATGGCTTTCTTTACATATTATATTATCCTTTTATGAATATATTCATAATTTGTATTAATTAAGGATATACCTCCGCTCTTACCTAGCCTAATGAAGGGGCATCGCCGCGAGAACGATACAACTCACCAAATAGCCTATAAAATCCCGTTACTCGACGAAGTTTTCCAAAAATTTCCCAACATTCCCATCAACATCGATATCAAAGTTTACGACAAATTTCTAGTCACCGAGGTACTGAAAGCAAGAAAAAATTGACATTCTTTTTAACTTATAACTATTTATAATTTATTTTTTGAAATTCATGATATGGAATCATCTTATTATACATTAATCTTGTCACCTTTCAATCAATTTATTTTTTAAGAATCGATCTTTTTTTTTCGATAAAAGTCTTCAAATTTTATCTCGGAGCGATTGACATGTAAAATAAATTTATTGTGACCCGAAGGTGTTATAAAATTATAGTTAACCAAGATAATTTATGGCTGTACTGATCCACAAATTTTTTCTACCTATCTGATCCGATATTTGCGATGTTCATAACCAACTCGATTCGATATTAAGGTAGATTCTTCATTTTCCATCTAACCTTCAATCAATGTCAAATTATATGTAAACTAGGGGTTTAATAAGAAACACTTTCGAAATTTTCCGTTTTGTCTCGTGGCCCAAAGCGAATGATTAATGTGCATTCCAAACTGGTTTTTTTTTTCTGGAAAAAATTATGCTGCCGATTTGATCAGATGTTTTAATATAGGCACCACCCCCTCATAATTATGAATGATTGCACGTAATATTTAAATATAAAATAAATAAAAATTAATAAAAGAAAAAGATAGGAAAAGAATTGGAAACAAATTGAATAAAATGATTTATGATTCACCCCCCCCCCTCCCCATATAAAAGGTTTATATTGTGGGTCAAATATATATTTTTTTAACGATATCTTTAAGGTGGCTAGATTGATAAAAGAGTATCGAAGAGAAAATATCACCGTCTGGGGATCCTTCCAAGATCGCATCGTGAAGGAATGCTGGAAAAATGTTAAAAATTTTTATTATTTTTCTTTTCAATACATTTTTCTTCCTCTATATTATGATAATAATTAGTAAACAGGCCGAGCTCACGAGCCGAAAAAAAGTATGATTTTGACCTGGAGTTAACCGGAATGAGCAGCTGAACCATTATATATATATATCTGAACCATAACCGATCCGCTATAAGACCTTTATATAAAAAAAAAATTGTTCCAACATATGATGTGGCTTTACAAATTAATGATGAAATTCCTAACCAGTTTATATCAATATCATAATTTTTTTACGATATTTGTTTGCTACTGAATCACATATTATTATTTATTTTTTTGTATTTATTTCTTATAGTGGTATTAGAACCATAATTCTTATTTTCTATATTTTAAGTCTATAAAATTATCTGAAAAATAACGGACTTTTTGAATTATTAGTTGTATTTATTTGATTAATTTGAGTATTATTTCACCATCAACTTCCGATGAGTGGTTTTGATGTAAGAAGGGTATAAAAAATATATTAATTTTCATCAATTTTTATATTTTTTTTTACAAAAAAAAACAAAACAATATTATTAACTTAAAAGTGATGCCCAAAAATTTTAATAAATAATATTCATTATTAAAATCATTTTATACTATGGTGTTGCTTCAATAACATAATTTTTTTTTTAATAAACCTTTACATTTTGCGGAACCGAACTCGAAATTTTATAAACCTTTTTCTTTCTTTCTTTCTTTCTTTCTTATTAGCTGAACCGAACCCTACACTTTATTAAATTTTTTCTTGCTGAACCTTTATAAATAAAATAAAGGGTTTCGAGTTGAGATTTGTAAATATGTTTACCCACCTAATTTATTCAAAATTTTCCCGTTGACAATCATATGCAGAAATATCTAAATCGCTATGCTTAGAAGTTCCATTTCGATTATGCTTCAAAACGTTGAATTTTTTAGTCTACCACCTTACTAGATCGGCGAAGCCAAGTTTAGGGCGGGGGTAATTTTTTCGTCCTGACCCCCCGTAGAAAGATTTTGACGGGGGGGATGGCATATACCTCCCCACGACTTTGAATACATGTACTAAGAACATATCATTATGGTAGGTATATTAATTTGGTATCACTTCTTAACGCTTCACTTTACCGCTCCGTCACTTTTTTAATGGCACTCCTTTATAAACGTATCGTAAATTTTGATGTGAACGACGAGTTATCAATAGGGGTTTTGAGCAACAAAATGTCGCGTTACAAAAGCGTGGCATTATACGAAATGAGGCCCAGGCGGGCCAGTTAAGCCCCACCTTATAGGAAAGAGAGAAATAAAATAATAATATTTATTTATTATTACTTATTAGAACCAAAATGTACCGTTATACTTCTCGCTCAAGCGTGTAGCCCTGCTAATAATCTTCTATTACACCGGTCTGTTGCCGTTTGTGCCTATTAAGGAATCTTACCTAGAAATACCAGTTCCCAGAGCCGTTAGAAAGTACTAATCACATTTTATTTTGTTTATGCTTGTGTTTTTTCTTTAATTATAAATATTCGTTTCTTTTTCCCGACTTTATTAAACTTTATATGTCAGCGTCAATATGATTTTTTTTTCCCAGCAATGTGTTATTGTTTTTCAATTCCATTTTTTTGAGTGCGACTTTAAAAGATCTGATTTTACCGGAAATACGTGCCGTCACGTTTGGAATACCGACCCTTTGAATGAAATTTCAGACAATCTTTCCATGACCATTTTAAGCTCAATATTTATATTAAATATTTTCCATTCATATTTTTTTTAAATATAAATTATAAATGAACTTCGGAGGTTAACAGCGAAATTGTCTCTACAATTCGCAGGATAGGTGATTCCAAAACATGATGGAACCTATTTCCCGTAAAATCCGATTTTTAAATTTAAAAAAAGCGCGCTAAAAAAAATGATCTAAGAATATTATGTTTAGATAAAATATTTCCATAGAGATGGCCTCGTTCAAATCACGTGATAATCTACCTTTTTTTTAAAAAAATTTATTTCTTCTTATTTTTCTTTCCTTTAAACATTATTTTAAAAAAAAATTTATTTCAAATTAAATAAAAAGAAAACTAAATATTTGCAAAAACAGCTGGGGACCCCATTTTGATTACCCATATCGGTACTAAAAATTTTAAACGAGAGGCCATCTTTATTCCTTATATCTGATGAACTTTATTAAAGAATCTGCCTGATCATCTGATAATAAGGAAGCAAGTTATCAATTTAATAGTTTTTTTAACACGAGAATAATGACTGTACGGGTTTACCAAAAATGGCGGGTCCAGCTGATTTGCTTTCAACGACGCTTATCAAATGTATCGTCAGTCCTAGGTATTATTGTATGTCATTGTATAAAACCCCTTTTTTGCCTACTGTTTACCTTTCTAATAAATGTTAATTAAAATATAAAAGATGATAATCATAAATTAGCTTTTAATAAAAGGGGTATTTTTAAAGTATTATCAAATAATGTAATTAAATTTTAGAGACTTTTTTTATTTTTATTTTGTAATCAATATATTTATTGCAATAATAGAATTGTAAATTTATGTAGAAATAAAATTAATTATTAAAATTAACATATCAAATATAAAATAAAATAAAATAAAACAATATTATATAAAAAGACTTTTTAAAAATATGTGATATTTTTGATTATTTTAAATGAATATTATTTCTTTCATTTTTTATTTATTAGGATAACTGGGGACAAGGATATGCCGACTTCCAAGAAATTATTGTTGTTTTTAGCTGACAAGTTAATACGAATAAATTTTTTTTCTTTTTTCTCTTTTAGCTATCACCTTTTCTGGTGGTAAACTCCCTCAATATCTCTCTCCACTTTATGTTTATTCATGCTATCTCTTGTATCTAATTTATACTTCTTCATATTGGCTCTAACTTTATGGCCCCATTGAAGTTTCGGCCTTTCTCCTTTACGTTTGCCCATCACTTCCATTTTATAGTAAAAAAAATTATAATATATCATTTTGTAGTTAAAGAAATTCTCTAATGGGCTAACAAAGAATAATACATATTGGCGCCATTATAAGCTTTTAATATCCAGTTTACCTAAATTGCTTTACCTGTAATTTTAAGCAAAATAGTGAGTTTGTTTTCGAATTTTTTTTTTGCTTTTTATATAGACACCATATATACGATGTCAAAACCTTTTTTTTGAAAATTCTATATTTTTAAAACTATTAGAAATCCTATCAAATATCGCAATCGTCTATTTTCTTGCGAAGAGTTTATTGTAAAAATTAAATTATTTATTTTATTTTTTTTCCCCATAAGAAAATATATTTTATTTGAAGTCTTTCAAAATTTTCTTCAAAATATTATTTATCTCATAAAGATTATGGTTTTATAGTCCTAGGCCTACCATTAATTACCATTGGTTATTTATTTTTTATCAAAATGAAGTGATTTAATTAATTTACAATTGGCTTATATATTTAGTTGACCACTGAGTAAGAATCTTTGATTAAAAAGGAAAAGATATCTAATTGGTAAAATTTATAAAAAGTTATTTATCTACGACAAAATTGTTATTACATCTGAAAAATATTTAAAGAAACTCATATTCTAAGTTATCTACAACGATGTTGGAATTACCAATATCTGCAAGACATCTTTTCGTTCCACAAAGATTATTTTTAACCCTATTTGCCTTTGATTTTAATTTTATCCAGTCCATATCCTCATTTTGTATTTAATTTTTCCAAAAATATTAATCAAAATTTATTCTCAAAATTTCCAAAAAAAAAAATCAAATCAAATTTTTTTTTGGAATGTCTGATCCTATTAAAAAATTTATCGAAATATTTAAACCTCATATATTACAAAATTAAAATCATAATAATAGCTACAACGATAAATTATGCGTGAAGAAATTTAATTCAAAAAAAATATGGCCAGCCATCCTTATGACAAATAAATAAATTTAAAAAAAATAAAATCAATGGTGATTGATGGCTCTTAAAACTATGTTCTTATCCAAAAAAATTGTATAAATAATCGTTTTTTATCATACTCTGCACCCCCCTCACCAATCTTCGTAGGTTTATGCTGAATCGATCATTCATTAAACATCTGGAAAGGAGAGGCATTCTGGTTAGTCCTATAATATACATTGCTTTTTTTTTGCATTAATTAACTTTTTATATGCAGACCTATCTATGGACCTTGAATGAAGATGCGGATTTTGACCTAGCTTTCAATAAGTTGGGCGTAGCTGGCGTCATGACCGATTGCCCGACCAAGTTAAAGCTATTTTTGGAGAGACAAAACTAATCATCCGCTAGGAAAAGCGTAAAAAGATCGGGTCTAAATTAAATAGAGCGACCTTTTGATAAATGTATCCATAATTTATTTAAGAATTTTTTTTTTAAAGATAAATATGTCTTTGTGCAATATTGCTTCACAATTATATACGTGAAATTTAAATACTCCATATAATTTTAAACTTACATTTACTTGTATTTTATTGCGTATTTTTTGGAATATTATATTTTGTAGAATTGTAAAATATTTTTTATAAAAAAATTTGTTTGTGAAATAATATAATGTATCAAGAACGACATAGATTATTAGTGTAGTAGATAATAGCTTTTTAAATAATAAAATATTTTTGATTTTTTTTTGCTTGCCTCTAATTTCTTTAAGAAACTAGATTAAATTTCTTAACTAAAATAAGACAAATAATTTACATAAATTGAAATCTCATAATTAAATATAAAATTTATAAAACCATCGCCTAATTTCTAGTTTAACACAAAGAGAATCATGAAATTACATTCCTCAGAATAAAAAATTGATTGACAATTTTATGATATTCGACATGCGTAACCTATAAGATTGTCATATGATATTATATAAAAATTAGATATATAATCTACGAATCTACAATTAAACATTATTTAATTGGCGTTTGGATATTATATAAAATTATAAATATATATATATATAAAGTAAAAATACACAATTACAACATTAGCTTCTTTGTAATTATGAGATAACAGAAGCGGCAAACAAGGTGACACTGCTCATGAAAATATTCGAGATGGGGTTAATTTTCCTCTTTTCCTTAACATTTTAATTGCCATCCCCTCTAATATTTGGTATATATTTTTACCTTTTAGTGAAGGGCATTCAGCGTGGAATCAATGTTTAGCATCGCACCATTTACATTGTGATCCGAGATTAATAACTACAGATTCTAAAGTTGAAGGAATATTGGTTATTGAGAGAGTCCATAGCAATAATCGAATTTATCACTTGATGGCGTGGATGGAGTCCTTTTGAGAAGCGGGCAGTGGAGACGGTGATGGCCTAGACTGTCGACAGCTTAGCTGACAGAGTTTTCAAGATGAGGGTGTTACGATATCAGAGCTTAAACGAATGGCTATTCCTATTCTAAGTTCTTTGCTTGGAAGACGCTTCTAGTGCACCCTGATGGAATATTAATAAAGCTTTGATAAGGAAATAAAATATTTAAGAGTTTAAGATTCTTAGGAAAATAGACCCAAATAGTAATGAGCATAATGCTTCCACCCTTTTAGGTTAGTGAAAGAGTCGTCGAGCACCACCAAATATTAAGAGTAGAATGCATGATGAAACAATGTTATTAAAAAATGTTTTTAAGAAGTACATGGTTAAGTTTGATATTAGTAGGAAAATCAAATTAAATATTTTATATTTAATAAATTGTATTAATAAAAAGGTTTTCGTTTTAAAATATAATCAAATAAATGTAAAGAAGAAAAAAAATTAATTAAGCACTAAAAAAATAATTCTGAATTTAGTATTTATACTGTTAAAAAATGTATATATATTATAAAAAAAATTGAGATTATCAAAATTTTAACTTAGCAACATCGTCTAGGAGTTTTTTAAAAAATAAATTGAGTTAAGCAGTAAAAATTTATAGATTTCAGTAAAGCAGATTCTGAGGAGGAGCTAATGTAAAAAAATTTTTTAAAGCGTTTCAATTAAATATTCTGAGAAAAATAATAACTTTTAATTTAAAATATATATATAATTATGTTACCACACATGTGATAAGAATTCATCCTTTAATCCTAAGAAGGAACAATATATTTAAAGGATTTTCTATTTGTCGAAGATTTTTACTCTTCAATTCCATATTTCTCTCATTTCATATATAATAACAGATAAAATTTAGGATTTAGATCAAAATTTTTGTTTAGATTGAGTAGAATGCCCATGTTTTTCCTCTAATGCGATTGGCTTATAGAAAAATAATCTTTTCACTAAGTAGTCTAACTTGTCGGGGATCGTTATTATTTTTTTATATAAGCGATGAATCTTTTAAGTTAATCTTAAGAACTTTTATTGGTGGATGTTAGGGCTTCATCAGAATCATCTATAAATTCTCTAAATGTATCCTTTAGAAAAAAAACAGTTTATTTTATGTGTGTGTGGGATAAAAAATTTTTTTAAGGTTGTTTTATTTTGAAATTCGGAATTAGAATTAAGCCTACCTTATATAGTGGCTGCATAAGAAATCTTTCCATCAAAAGAAATGTTGTACTGTTTTTTAGGGTTTTAATTATTATTGTATCACCTTCAGAAGGTTGACTAAATTATAAACTTTCATTTTATTGTTAGCACGAGAATTTGCCCTCAGATCATCCTACCGTTCTTCGAATAATATTGATAAGTAAAGATAAATGAAAATAATAACGTATTTAAATTAAATTTATTTATCGCCAAATTCCCAATTGCTAAACGAGAGTTTTTTTTCATTCAATTGAACAATTTTACAAAATAAGTTTCCATGATTCGTGGGGAAATTTCTGTTCGCGCACAAATCACCATTTATTTTAATTTAGTAAATTTTTTATATAAAATATGTAAATACTGAAATTAAAAAAAACAAAAACTTTTAATTAATATAGATCTGTTGTGCTAATTTAGCCCAAAAAATATTTCAAAAAATACGCGCTTGTTCACCCACCGACAATTTAAATTTTTTTAACAGGTCGGGCTAAAATTTTCCGCAAATGTAGACCGCTAAATACATCTACAAGCACCCTTCTCCACCACTCACACACATCTGAAAAATAAAAATCTTTAACGCACTCGATATAATATATATTATATAAACAATTAAAAATAAAAATAAATTAATCAACAAACTTCATTATTTTATTTCGGGCCGAATTTATGTATTTGATTTCATCTTCATAAAAGATTGGAAAGATTTTTAGACATTTTTCTCGGTAAAATTTGATCAAAAATTGATGTTCACAAAGACAAAAAAAAATCTTCAAAGATTTTTGCTCAGATATTTTTTGAAAGAATTTTGTCAAACTCTGATTCGTATTTATTTTCCGAAGTCCTATTATTCCTACAGATTTATTTTTCATCAATCTTATCCATTTTTTTTAATTCTTCCAAATATCATTTTTTTTCAGCATATCTACGTTCACGTTACTAGATAAAATATTGAAATATTTTAATATTTTTTGATAAAAATTCAGATTTTTTAACTATTATTTATCATTAACTAGGACTATACAAAATATGAAACATTTTCTTATTCTCATAATATATTACGAAATATATAAAAGAAATAATAAAATTTTATAACTTAATATTAAGTTTAAAATTTCTCTAAATATATTTTGTCAAGATTTTTTACCCTGTAGCTAGTGGCATTATAAAAATATAAAATAAATTTTTTTATTTTATTTTAAATACAATAGCAAAAAACAAATATTTTATTAAATTTCTCTCAAGAAATTACGTGTATTACAAGCTTTGACGTCACATGACAACGAGCATCAGGCCCGACTATAGGGGGGGCCTACCTGGAAATGGTGGTCGCAATTTATATTGACTAGAAATTTATGAAATAAATGGGGCCCCATAATGAAAAACGCCGTAGCGTCTAGCGGGTGCTTTAACCTGATATACGCCTATGTCAGCCTATTCACTCGAGATATTTAAATGAGATTTAGAGATCTCACTGTTACTGTTAGAGCTTTGCAATGGGCGCGCTTTTAGCCAAAAAAGCAGCTCCTTCCACTTGTTGTTTGAAATTTATTTAACCCGCCCACACGACCATTCATCTCTAAATTTTGTTTAACCCTCCCATCCGCTTGGTGCTTAAAAATTATAACAATGGCTAGTTTGGTTCTTTATTTATTTAATTTAAATGTATTTTTTAATTAAAACATAAATAATGATGTAATTAATATTATGAAAAACAAAACTATTATTTTTAATAAATTAATGTCTGTTCTGTTCATTTCGCCCTGAAAAATACCAAAAATTTATCCGCCCCACGCCGGTCCATTACTTTAAAAAAATTTTCGACCCGCCTGTCACCCACCCAGTGTTAAAAATTATGCTCATTTAAAATATAAGCGGTCTTAGACGGAAGGGCAATGCGCCCAATGCAGACCTCTAATTCCTATCATTTAAAATGGAATCAGTGTTAATTGTAAATTTTTGATTCTCGAAGAGATTTTTAAATTTAAAGTTGCCGCTATTAGAAAGAACAATTTATTTTGAATAGAAATTGTTTAAAAAATTTCTAAAACTAGAATATAAAATTTTATTAATCCGATTTAAATAAGAGATTTTTTTTATGAATTTAAATTTTTTACATATTTAAAGATATAACTAGTTACTAGTTACAGATTAAAATAATAATAATTCTAAAATATAAATATCATGATAAAAAAAAATTTAAATATTATACATAAAAATTAGAGAATATTGTATGAAATGTTAAAAAAAATAAATTAATGCTAATTTGAATCGACACACGTGAAAAAATAAAATTAGTTACTTAGCATGTTGAATTCTACTATTTTACCCAAATAAATCAAAAACAGAATTTTCTATTATATTTTTTTATACATTTATTATTAATCTTATCTGATTTTGTTTTAAACGCCTACAATAAGTTCAATAATATTTATATGGAATTATATTATAAAACAAAAAAAATATTATTAAGATAAAAACTTCTAAATTTCTATCATTACACGTATATATATATATCGGTATGATTAACCGACTCTGGTAAAACATTTTTATATAAAAGTAATGTAAATTGATTCGATCGACACAAGTAATATAATAAAGTAATACGTAAATTGATTAAGTAAGCACAATTTGTTACTAAGCTGTAACAATCCATATAATAACATCAATTATCAATTTTAAAAATAATGAATAGTTAATTAACATGATTAATATTAGTATTGTTAAAAACTTCCGATATGGGTCAAATTTTCAAAACGACCAAATTAACATTTTAGCTAAAATAATATTATGCAGTCATCAAGAATTGTCAAATAGATGTTCCATGCATTTCTTGCCAGATTTTAGCATTCTAGACTAACATAATGTTATTTTGGTTGTAATCTTAATCGAACATTGGACAACACTAATTATTATAACATCACGATAATGAATTTAGATGTTATAAATTATTGTAAAAATGATTAACTTATTTATCTAATATTGCCTCATAGATTCAATTTTCTTATTTTGCAATTTAATGGCTGAATTTGTTTTAAAAAAAAATTTGTTTAAGCTAAGTACAAAATGACGTAAAAGAAATTTTTGCAAGTGATGCATCTCCTATTTATTTTTGTTCAAACATACAAAATAAAATTGAGAAAAAGAGTTCCCCGAAATTTATTGACGTATAATTCTTAAAAGTTAATAATTATTTACGTTTGGTAATATTGTTACGTGCTAAAGGTTATATTTTAATATCTTTATTAAAATTATAGCATTTATTAAAATTATAATCTAACAGAAAATATCTTACATAATATATAGTTATAAGAGGTAAAAGTCCGAAAGATTAATAATTGTTAAATATACTTTATCGAGATACACCCCCTCCCCTCTATCCGATACTGATCGATTGTTGAAAAGTTTAAGTAATTTTTATCGATTACATTCAATAAATACTTTTCATTGATACCCAAGCCCATTCCCTCTCTCCGCGCATAACCTGAATACCATTATCTAAGCTATAAATATCCTAAAAAATGTTTTCTATTGCAACCGATCCCACCATAAGGCTTAGATGGTACAATTAATCTTTTCTTTCTTTCTTTCTTTCTTTCTTACTTACTTACTTTCTTTCTTTCTTTCTTTCTTTCTTTCTTTCTTTCTTTCTTTCTTTCTTTCTTTCTTTCTTTCTTTCTTTCTTTCTTTCTTTCTTTCTTTCTTTCTTTCTTTCTTTCTTTCTTTCTTTCTTTCTTTCTTTCTTTCTTTCTTTCTTTCTTTCTTTCTTTCTTTCTTTCTTTCTTTCTTTCTTTCTTTCTTTCTTTCTTTCTTTCTTTCTTTCTTTCTTTCTTTCTTTCTTTCTTTCTTTCTTTCTTTCTTTCTTTCTTTTTCTTTCTTTCTTTCTTTCTTTCTTTCTTTCTTTCATTCTTTCTTTCATTCTTTCTTTCATTCTTTCTTTCATTCTTTCTTTCTTTCTTTCTTTCTTTCTTTCTTTCTTTCTTTCTTTCTTTCTTTCTTTCTTTCTTTCTTTCTTTCTTTCTTTCTTTCTTTCTTTCTTTCTTTCTTTCTTTCTTTCTTTAACTGATGAACTTGGCTACATAAATCTTTAATATATTTTTTTCTTCTAAGAATTAGCAATGAATATACAAATGTATCATGAATAGGGATTTTTAGGGGTTAATTAAAAAAATTGGAAAATAAGAGGGTGCCAATTCCCCTTAGCTGAGTTTTTGAAATATATTATATCTCCTCATTTTTATAAATTTCCAAAATTTGGTTGAATCATTATATTCGATTAAAATGAGCCAAAGTCAACATATGAATATCTAATTTTAAAAGAATTTTTCAATTCTCTTTTTTTAAAGGTTTATTATTCTGTGTAAATAAGAAGATAAGCGATAAAAATATTTAACAATCTATATTATATCAAGGTGATATTTACTAAAAAAAGGCAAATTTGAGATAGTGCAAAGAAAGAAAGAAAGAAAGAAACAAAGAACATTATATAATCCAAAAGATTTTTCAGCTGGCAGAATTGCTTGGACATCTATTTTACTAAATCTCAATGCTTACATAGCATTTTTTTTGCTATAGTGATAAAAATATGTAAAAATCTATATTATCTCAAAGTGATATTTACTAAAAAAAGGCAAATTTGAGATAGTACAAAGAAAGAAAGTAAGAAAGAAAGAACATTATATAATCCAAAAGATTTTTCAGCTGGCAGAATTGCTTGGACATCTATTTTACTAAATCTCAATGCTTACATAGCATTTTTTTTGCTATAGTCATAAAAATATTTAAAAATCTATATTATATCAAAGTGATATTTACTAAAAAAAAAGGCAAATTTGAGATAGTACAAAGAAAGAAAGTAAGAAAGAAAGAACATTATGTAATCCAAAAGATTTTTCAGCTGGCAGAAATGCTTGGACATCTATTTTATTAAATCTCAATATATACATAGCATTTTTTTGCTAAAATCTTAATCGGGTCTTTTTGAAAAATTGACTCGAATCGGACCTTTTAACAACACTACTAATGATATTTAATATTATCACATATATTTTAGAATATAAAATAATGAATAGTGTTAATCAACATTATCATATCATTAAATGATAATAAATTTAGACGTATAAATTATTGTATAAAATTATTAACTTATTTATGTAATATTACCTAATTTATTTAATTTCTTATACTTTTAATTTGCAATTTAATGGCTGAATTTGCTAAAAACATTTTTTTAAATTTAAGATACGAAATGACGTAAAAAAATTTTTGGAAAAATTTTATCATTGAGTAAATTCGACCCCTCCTTTATTTATTTTTTTCAAACAAAACAACACAAATTTTCGAAAAAAATATATTCCCTTTAATTTATTGACGTATAATTTTTAAAAATTATTATTTATTTATGTTTATCTTTCTATTAAACATTTTCTTTGAAAAAGTTAAAATTAAAAACATAAATAAAAAAATAATTACTAAAATAATATATATACACTGGCTTAAAATAATTTTAAAGTCATTTAAAATCCTTTTTTCTTAATTTTAAAAATCCTTAATTAGTTAGATAATTTTTGAAATTTTCTTTTTATTCGTTAAATTATTTTATTCTTGAAATGATCAAAATTATCCCAATTTTCATAGTTGCTCTGTCTATCCTCGGATTTATTTGTAAGTAGACAATTTATATGCATTTTGATAAATTAGCTTTTATTTGAATATATTCCAGTAGAATGCTAAATATTTATTTATATCGTATTGGGATATGAATTCCATGGGGGATACATAATCTCCAAATTTAAATCATTTACTGATGATAATTTTTAAATTTCAAAAAAATCTAATTTGATATGAGAAAATATTTCTGCATATATAGGGGTAACTTACACCGCAAATTTCAGATAATTTTACAGCGAACTTTTGAACTAGTCGTAAATTATAGTAATTTTTTTTATATGGATTTTTTATACAAATTATTTAACGAGAAAATTTTCTGGAGAAAATGATCTAAAATTAAATAGGATATAGATATACTCTAACTAAACATGCTAGAAAACATTTCCAGTTTTAAAACAGAATTTTAGTTTTTAAAAATCGCCTTCAGTAAATAATTTCAATATATATATATACAGTGTTGTGATAATTTAATGAAACATGTTGACGATTAAATTCAAACCTATTCATATAAAATTACAATATTTGCAAAAATAATTAAAACATTCCAAACATTCTTGAACCATCAAATTTATCTCAAGTAGATGGTTTAAGACCTGATGGTATGACAACCATACCTTGGGCCCTCGGCAAAATCACTCATATGAGATTAAACGTGTGTCTCATTATTCCCTTCACACGTAAATTTCAATTTAATAACACAGGCAGAAATTAAAAAGACAAACAAATACAAAAAATTTTAAAAATTTGATATTCACTCCAGTAGTGGCTTCTACTAACGGGCATTTTTCGCCTTCAACATTTATGTTTTTAAAAAATCTGGGTAATAAAATACGACTTTTCACAAATGAACCCAGAGAATTTCTTTTTATTCGATAAAAAATTCAAATAGAAATTTTTAGACACAATTATGATTCCTTTTTGGGGACTCAATTATAGAATTTTATTTTTAATTATATAATTATAAATTTATAATTTATAATTTTTTTTAAAATAGGTTTTATGTAAAAAAATTAAAATGATATAAGGAATAATAAAAGAAATTTCACTAATGCTTTGTCTATATTTTAATTATTTTTGCAAATATTATAATTTTATATGAATTGGTTTGAATTTAATCGTCAATAAGTTTCATTAAATCATCATAACCCTAGAAAATTATTATTAAAAAGATATAAAAATTAAAAGTCCAAAATAAAAAGTATACAAATTATCTTCCAAAAAAAATATAAAAAGTAAATAACTGAAAAAGTAGACTATTTAAGATTCAAAATCTTTGCAATTATTAGCATATTCCCAAAAAACTTAACTGACAAACTGGGATATAAGTACATGCACAAATTTTAAATTATAACAATAATTGACCTTTTATTAATTTTTATCATTTTATTCTATTCATTAAATATACATGCCGATTTGCTTTCTAAAGATTATTTTTCTTGCACATTCATTTTCAGCAGTTTTCTATAATTTTTAATTTTTTTTTATCTTCAGTTTTTTTCCCCAGTTTTTTTGACGTAGTTTTTATAATTTACGTCCATGTTCTAAGATACATAATATTATAATGTTGTAATAATTTTTGATAAATAATTAAGATTTTTTTATTGTCTACCTTAAGGTTATAAAATGAAACATTTTTTCTAAGAATATTAATGTATATACAAAATTTTTCTTTGAAAAATTATATTAAATAATTAAATAATACAAAAATTATTTTTATCGAAACATTAACATTTGTTTAATTGCTACCTAGTATAGATTGTAGCTAGCTTATATAAAATAAAAAATATTATTTTACGTTAAGTATAATATACTAAATTAAATTAAGAAAAATTTTAAATAATTACAAAAATAAATTGTAAGATTTTTACTTTAAAATTTAATAGTTTTGAATTTGGTTTAAAACAACCGAACAGCCAATAAATTTATAAAATAAAATTTATTTTAAATTCTTAAATAGATTAGTATTTTCAAATTTTTAATATCTTTAATAGGAGACCTATATCAAGATACCCCCCCCCCCCACCTTCTTTCCTTCCAGATTGATTTGTAATTTAATCGGTTATTTTAGGTCCATGTCTACATATTTTTTTATAATAAGGGTTACAAAATTTAGGAACTATCTAGTAGAAATTATTTTTTTTTAAATTTAATAAGTAGTTATATTAAAAATGATTGAGGCAAAGGAGATAATCGATATTATTAATGAAATGGGATAGGAATATATAATAAGTGTTCATGCAAACGATAAGAATCTTAAAATAATGTGGAGAGACTAACTAATATGATGCCATATGGTCGAAAGTGTCACAAAAATGTGAGAGAATAATTAACATAATTGGCATAATTGGCCAAAATATCATGATCGCCATATTTTGCGTCAATTAAAATTTGGTGAAAATGATGTAATAAATCATAAAATTACCAGTTTACACTACAAATTGTGTAATTATTTTTGTAATCGTTAGTTTGTTGAAGTAACGTATTACATATAAATGATTTTCCAAGACCCTCCTTGGTCGTTAATACTATTTTAAATATTATTTCCCTCAAGATATTTTTGTCGTCTCTGGTTAAAATTCTTTGAAGGTTTCTTTTTAAAAATGATTGAGGTTTCCTGCACAAAATTATCTATATATGTATCAGTATAAGTAAAATATCATATGTCATTATAATTAACTATTAAGACTTACGATTTTTAAAAATATAATTTTGCGACTAACACAATGATAGTTCTGTTACACAACATCGATAGAAGTAACGGAACTGAAACAGAATTGGTTTTGGAATTCTCTTATTAACTCAACATTTTATGATTGAAATTTCGATTTAATTATTAATTCGGTTAATTTGTTTTTCTTTTTCTTTTTCCAAATTCAAATTTTTTTTAAGTTGCTTTTTTTCTGTAACTTAGCTTATATTAATCCTGTAAAAAACAAAAAAAAAATTAAAATCTTCGCTGGTTATATCACTTTCCTTAACTCAAAACTAACTAACTCTAAATGGATTTAATTATTTATTTTTTTATCTTTAAGAATGTATCCATGTTTCAAGTTGAGGCTTAAATTTAAATGTTTTTAGTCAATTTAAGGATAAAATTTGGATATTGGTCGTGTTTGGAGTTCGGACAAAGTTAGGGAGATTTTAGGAAACATTATTTTTGTAATTATTAACTCAATTTCATTTTAATGTCTGCGATGGTTCAGGTTCAACTTCAACAAGCGGTGATGACAGAAAAATGTGCAAAGATGTATTGCTCGATAAATGCGGATACAGTTCACACCTTGAATCGAAAGAAAATTTGAGATACGAAAGATTGATCGAAATTATAAGTGATATTTTTAAATTTCTATTATCCTTCTGTTAAAAAAAAATTTTCTTTTTAATGGCTATCTTTTTTTAAAATATATAAATGAAATTATTATTTTTTATTTGATTCAAATAGAGAGTAATTATGAACCCAATAGACTTTTGAAGAAAAATGTAAAGCGCGTGTTAAAAAAAGTTAAAAATTATTTGGCCTCCTGTGTTGATTATAACAAAAAAACAGAAACCGAGAAAAAAAGAATGTTTGTCGAATATTTTAAAGAAAATAACTATACATTCTTAACGGCCGAGACCAATTCATCTATGCTTAATAAAGAAGAAATATGGAAGCGGATAACGAAACTAAAAGTAATTGATCATACGACAGTACCGATAAGTATCTTTTTTAAAAAAACTGCCAGGGTAAAAAAAGCCGTTGAGATTTCTTTTTCCTATCCAATTAGTGATCTTTTAAATATCGATGATTCTCAAGCTGGAAATACTACCGCGATTAACAGTATAATTGATCAATATGCTGAATGGATTAGAATTTTACATGCTATATTGGGCGGAAATGAAAGTAGAGGCCAGAATATAAAAATGATGGCAACAATTTATTTACAAGTATGTTTTTATATTTAAAAAAAACATAATTTTTTTTTCTCAAACATTAAAACACCAGGAAAAGGGGCAAGAATGGATAGCTTTTTGAACGTTTTATAATATCTATTTTATTAAGATTATTAAATAGCTTCATGATTTTATCCTTTTATAAGCAAAAGAATTGTTTTTTTGAGTAGTTTCTGGAGGCCTAGTCGGTAAGTGCATCATCTGATAACCACCTATATATTCTGGATTTGAATCCAACTAGGACCGGATTTTTTGTGAAATCAATTAGCTGGTTCTTGATAGATGGTAGGATATATAAAGCGAATATTCTTTTCTTTCTTTCTTTCTTTCTTTCTTTCTTTCTTTCTTTCTTTCTTTCTTTCTTCTCTCTCTTTCAGCAAAGTAACAAATTATATAAATTTCAAATTGCAAAACATCAACCGTCTTATATAGGGATCCCCGGCTAATAGTTGAAAAATAGAGATACAATCGTTTATAACCATTTTTATTTTTTTTACAATAGATAATTTTGATACATATCGAAAATCCCACTTACGAAGATCGCTCATTCACGATACCCTTAAAGAATGCTTCTGGAATACTTCATATAGTATATAAATTATTGTATATTTTTGATATTCCTTATATATATATAAATTTATATGAACGCTTTGCGCCTATATGAAGTAAGGATAAGAAGATATGATCATAAAAACGTATCATCAAAAATTTTTCTTACTTCATTACCAAATAAGTTGGACTTTATAGGGTCTAATTAAAAATTTAATTTCAAGATATTAAAATTACTATAAATTTTCAATATTTTTTAAACATGATAAAATTTAGATTAATTTAACATTTAAAAATTCATATTTAGTTTGGGACTAATTTTTATAAAAAAATAATTATATAATTTAAAAAGTATTTGCATTTAAAACTTTTCATGTAGATATTTTCTTAGAAAACAATTTTAAGAACTATTGAAGCATCTTATATAATAGATTTACGGTTTAAATTTCTAAAAAATAAATTTTTACTAGTTTAAAAAATTATTTGAGAATAAATTATATGCCCCGGGTCAACATATCCCCTGTCTTCCCTTATATGTAATTTGTCAAGAAAGATTACGTGTCCCATTGATACTCTACCTTTTGATGGAATGAATTCGTCAAGGACATTAATCTTAGACTAAACTTTCTATACAATTTTTACCAACACTTCCCTTCCCACATCCAAATATTTTTCGATATTTAAATCATACCAACTTTTTCTAGAAGGTTAGAGATAGTATTTTAATAATTTGTGCAAAGATAGATGATTTATTCACCGATCATTAATTCAATAAATTTTATATTTTTTTAATGGAATAGGCTAACCTTACACAACTTGTTCGAGATCTAGCCAAAGCCGGCAAAATAACTTTGCCTAAAAACACGAATATTACTATCAAAGACAGGTTATACGTTGAACTATTAAATAATTTCACAGCGAATTTCTCCAAGTCCACGGAAGATCTTAAGTAAGTAATTTTGAGTCAATTTGTATATTATCGTTATTCAATTGATTCCTATTGTTCCTAATCCTTTGAAATTATTTATACCCTCCGTAGCAAAATTTGTGAAATTTGTTTATTTTACCCCTCCCCTTAATTACCTGTTTAAAAAGATTGAAGATATTAAAATGATAATTTAAATTATGAAACAACAAAAAATTCACTGTAAATTTGTCATAGACCCGTAATCTTGGTTTGTATCTAAGGTATGATTTACAAAAAACCAAAAACTTGTTAATGCTGGGCCAGGACTCTTTGTAAAGAAAAATATATTTAAATTATATCATTTAATATTCATTTACTGCTCATATTTTTAATTTCTCGGTAAAAAAAGATGGTTTTCACAAATTACAGCTTTTAAATTATTCAAAATAACAAAAAATTTAAAAATATGGTTAAAACTGGTGGAAAATTCAAAAAAATTTATAAACCAGGCCGGACCTAAAATGTTGACCTCTACAGATTTCTGATATTTATTAAACAATTAATAAAATATTTTGGACACTTAAAAAAACAAACGGTAGCATGATTAAAGGCTAAAATTATAACTTGATTATTAATAAAAAAATAATTCTTATGGCTCTTCAACTACTCATATTGTTGTTCGGTATTTATATATGTATTTCTTCGTATCAATTTATAATTCTATGAATAACTTGACATATTAAATATAATTATTTACTTCAATATAATTCTCCCCCTCCCCACCCTTCAAAAGTTAAATAATAGGATACCCTATATGTAAAACAATATAATGATGTAAAACATATATTAAACCCAAAAATATTTTAGAGACCTCCATGATTTTTTCATATTAATGTACGCACTTAAATTGGCACCATCGTTCCTACAAGAAGCTCAAAATGTAGAAAAAAAGTTATTCAAAGGATATTCCCACTTAGATTCAGATGATAATCAAAAGAAATGTCTCAATATTATACTAGCATTTGGTGATAGAATGTTAGATTTTTTATTCCTTTTAAAGCAAAAGAACAAATTTTTAAACAAGGTAACCACTATTATTCATAGTTACTCATATGATCATTACAAACTTAATTTTTTGATTAAGCAAAATAATAGAAAGTTCTATCTGAATTTACACTTTTTCACATTTTTTTTTTGCTAGTAAAAATTATTGGATGTAAAAAAATATATTGATTTTTAAACTTTTTATAATTCAAGACTTATTTTATTTTGATCTATTTGGTTAGAGGTTAAGACTATTTTAAACGTTTGACATTATTCTCATAAATCAAGAATAAAAATTTTATCTCGCTAAAACTGTGAAATATGCTTTATCTCAAACCGGTTTCTCCCCTTACTCTGATTCAAGCTATGATTTTATAAGTTATTCATAATTTACTATTTTTATATATACAGATCGAAGCAATTAGTAAAGATTTGGCGAACAGTTATAAAAAATTGGCTCTTATTGATCAAAAAGTAAATGACAACAATATTTAAGATAGAATGATATTTTCGTATATAAATGTAATAACCGTGTATCTATGATGTTAATTATTATTTCTTCATTTTTTTTTTATAAGATAGAGAGTGGGGTGAATAAGAAAGAATAATTGGTAGAAATTGTTAGATATGTGAATTTAGAGAATACAAATAAAATAGAATAAATAAAATTAATACTAAATTCTTTATTAAATACTATATAAATTATCAATTATAAATTAACATAAAAGGAAAAAGTAACAAAAAATAAAAATTAAAGTCAACTAAAATAAAAATTTCTTCTTAATATTACTTTTTTTTTTCTCTATATTTATACTAATAAAATTCATATAATCTCGTCATATTCATATTCAAATTTTACATGAACTCTAAATATTTAACTTTATATATAAAAAAAACTATTTTCGATAACTATTCAAATTTATATAAACAACAATATAATTAAATGCAATCACAAATTATAACATTCTAATTAATACAACAGAAATTACAATAATGAGGTTACTTGTAATGACTACTAGACCAAATTTTAGTTAATATAGAAGAATTATAGGTAAAGTATATCATTGTCCATTTAGAAGGAGGTAAAATGATAACGGTATGGGCCATTAGTTACACCCAAAAAATTTTGAATATAAGTAAGTTTGTTATTTAAAAAATTGTTTTGTGGAAGTTATCTTGGAATATTTTACCAGAGATTTTTAATTAAATTCTACTTAAATAATGCCAAAATCTTTTCAAGATGAAAAATTTTTTGTTTGATTTCAATCTTAAGTTTACTTTTGAACAAAATCAGCATCTGTCTGTTAAAAAACACACACTGGTCGAATTTAAATAATAAATTTTTTTATAAATTAAGCATATAATTAATCATATTTTTTTTAAATTATAATATTAGTCCTAGCTATATTAAATAATATCACCATTGGCCAAATTAAGTTAACGTCAGGGGACTAACTCCCTTCTTCGTCAATATTTTAGTATGATTAAATTTTAGTAAACCTTTCCTTATTCTCTATCTCTCTTAGCATTTACCCACTTTTCTATCAAGTTAAATGGTATAGATAAAAATTAAAATTTATAATAGGTATATATATAAAAAAAATTATATTGATATAACAAAATTGCCTCCTCCATTACCACGATTATTTTTTATAATTATTAGATTTCATTTCGAGTGTTGAATAATACCATATATATAATATAAATATTTGCCAACTTAAATTCTAAATGTGTCTATACATTTTAAAAATCATTTTTTTTGAAGAAATTGAAACCGCTTAAATTTGATTCCTTACCACCATTCCAAGAAGTTAAATATTTTTTTTATATGCGTTTATTGTTTTAATTCATTTTGGTTTTTAAATTTGTAATGATATTAATAAAACATAATTTTAAAATAAAAGGTTTTCAAACAACTAGTAGGAAAAACCTTTATCGAGAATATTATTATAATGATGAAATCCAAAGGCACATATATAGAATTAAATTCTGGCAAAGATAAAATGTAACCCTAGAATTATTAGTTTTTAATTAATATATATTTTTATTGTTTAGAGGAATTGAATCATTTTTAAATAATCACAATTCAAGTAAATCGTTGTTTTCATAATTTAGTAATAATATTATTATTATATTATTTTAATTAAAGAAGAAATCGATAAGTAAAAACTATATGATAATTAATATTGGGATTCAGCATAATCCCGAATTGTACTAAGGTATAAAGGGAATATAATTTTACAACAGGGTATCATGAAATTGCATTTATAAAATTAAAATAATTTGAAAATAAAATATGAAAAAAAATACATTATTTTAAAATTTATTTTGTTAAAGTTGGGCATATTAATAATTTGACCTAAATTATTTATGAAATTGGAAGTAAAAAAAAAGTGATTTTTAATTTTCTTTTTAAGTTTTACAATTATTATAATAAGAAATATTTTTTTTTAACCAATAACATGTTGGAATTTGTAATTTATCTTGGGGTTTTAAAATCAAAATAGACAAGTTTATACTAAAAATTTAATTGGGACTCTATGCTACCCTGATGTAATGGAGTTTTAATAAACTCTAATAAAAATATCGGATACACTAAATTATGACATAACCTTACAAAATACACTAGAGAGTTTGTTATCGAAACGGACAATGTCCATAATATTAAGACATACATTATTGCTTGTACATGCCAGAATATATTTCTGACAAGATTATAGTTTTGAAAATTTAAAGAACGTGCTAAATAAATTATAAAAATATGAATATCTTATTTCGTCCGCTCTGTTTGCTAAATATTAGTAAATGACTAAGGGAATATTAATTATAATTTATATAATATTAATGACTATAAATGTCTTCTAAATGTAAGAATGGCCATAAATTTTATATCTACAATATTTCGTTAGGGGGAGGCTAAATATTTCCTAGCGGGGCTTATTCCATTAATATTTGATAATTTGTTATGTTTTGACATTTTTATAGGAAAGAGACAAGTGAGAATTTTTAACCACAGGAAGATTTTCTCAAAGTTTTTTTTAAACCTAATTATAATTTATATGTATAATAAAAACTTAATGTTAAAATGTTAAAAAAATCTTATGTGATTTATCATCGCACCTTTCCAATCAAAACTATGATGACCGTCTAATTATACATATAATCGACATCATTATATATATATCTAAATTTACTATCATATATTTTTTAGCAATATCGGATTAAAAATGGAAGTAGCATTTGGAATGATTACTGACTTAGGTAAACCTTAATTTAAATATAATATAACTTAAAATTGAATATGTTATTAAAAAATTAACAAAAAATGATATATTGTTTTTATTTTATTTATATTCTTTGGGTACGTTTTATAAATTTAAAAAATAAAATTTTGCCTATGAAATATTCTGCTAGAATATATTTCCCGTAAAATTATTTAAAATTTTTTAAAAATGCTAAATGATTTAAAATCGAATTAAAATCACACATTATAATCTATAAATCACATTGACGCCAAAATACAACAAAAATGAATATAAAGGTCACATGTAATTAATTCAAAAATAAATGAAACATTTATAGTTAGTAAAATAATGATTAGAGTTATATAATATCTAAAATTTTTATATTATATAAGGGCTGTTATTTGCCATTTTTTATAATATATTTTAATAGCTAAGAGTGAGATCTCGATAAAATTACCAGCCTATAAATTTCTGCTTACAAGTCGCTATTATGTAATTATTCGATGTGGAAAATCAACCCGTTAATATTATTAACAAATTTTTTTAAACATTTGTCTTAAGACTTTGAAGTCAGTTGAAAGTTTTAACGCCTCTAAAAGATTCTGAGGACGATGTGATAACTAGTAAAGATTAAATTAATGTATATCAAAATTAGGTTTCTACTAATTTTATTCATAGAAATATGAAAAGAAACTAATCTCATTATAGATTATAGTATCTCTACCTACAGCTATGGAACATGGTTCGAACCTCATGTTCTGATTGGGTTCCAACTTGAACACTTTTTTCTCATGCTAGACTCGGGTTGTAAAATCAAAGAGCTTGACGCGATAAATATAGTGAGGAGGACTTGCTTGAAGCCTATCAGACTTGCCTCGTCATTATTTATGTATCATAATTATTGGCTATGTGATTCTATTGATAATTAAATTGATGTGCCTATTTAAGGTGTTCATTATTATATTTTTTTTTACAAATTTTTTCTCCATATAAATATTTGTATCACTTTATTTTGAAATTATTTTCAAATAGGAATCCTCAAAGTAGGGATTTTTGATGATGTAAATCTAATAGGGATAGATTATTTAGTACTGCAGTTTCATAACTCGGTAAACAGATTAACATTTTCGACTTAATGATAATCCAATATTTTTAGAACTGCTTTTAAAGATATTTAAAACTTTAATAATTTTAGCAAGATTTTTCATCGTCAAGATACCATATATATAAATCCAAATCGAATTTAGATTTAAGATTATAAAATAGACCTTAATAAGTAATGCAAGATTTTAGTATAATTTTTTTATTTGTAATTTTCTTGTCATTTATTTGTAAATTAAATATGAACATCTAAGTTCTGCCAAATAAAATTTCACAATTATTATGATTGTTGTTAAACGGTAAGATATTAGCCGATTTTCAAAAACGGCCGACTCGATTATTTATCCTGAAAAATAATACGCAAGCCTGAATATTCTATTCATCGATCACGCAATTGGACATGTATTATCTAAATTTCTAGGCTTATGCAATATATATTGGTTAAAATATAGAGTTAACCGTTTTTAAAAATTGGCCGAAATCAGAATTGTAAAATATATTAATATTTCTCCTCATATTTATACATAAAAATTTGTAACCATATTAATAAAATTATATTTTAAAATTCATCATTTAGTTGGTTACCCGACTTTTTGCAATGAGGTTAAAAATTTTTTTACTGAAGAAAAAAAATACTATATTTAATAATTTAGAGTACTAGCGATGTTTATTTGACTGTGATCATTATGGATGCTTTTAACTTGGTCTACTCGGTAAAAGTAAATTGATGTCAACTTTTAATAATTAATTATCAAATTTTAAGGCCAAAAATATAACCCAAAATATGGATCATTTGAAAGTTAATATAGACTCTACTGACGTAGAACCCTTCATTAAAGTTAAATATATTTTTAAAAAAAATCTTCTCATTTAAAGTGTATAATTTTCATCATTTAAAGTATGTATGCAAGAATGATACTGTTTTTCCTATGAATATCAAGACGAAAGAGTAAAAAAAAGTTATATTTTCAAATATTTTATGGTTTTTATAATCTTATAGCTATCTTGATATAATGGCGGCAAGTGAAACTGTTGGTGACAAGTATAACTGCAAAATTAGCTCTATAAATTTGAGAAAATGTCAAACTCCACTAAAGGGTTAATCATAAAGGAAAAAGGGGAAATTAAATGTATTTTTACATTTATAATTGGGAAATTAATTATCAAAAACTTTATTATTATCAATGATCCATTTTTGAATCGCATAGAAGACTGATTATAAAAAAAATGATTTAATATAATTTATATATATGGGCGTAGTTATTTTATAATAAATTTTTACATAACAGTAGACAGATGCGTAACCAGTATTTATTAATAGGGAGGGGGGGGGGGGTCTAAAAATATTTTATGGGGGCTTCTCCCCCTAACTCCATTTGTCACTAAAAAATAATATATAATATTTATTTTTTCAGTAGTTTTCTTTAGATCACGTTTGTCAGTTGACCGAACAATTGTAAATACTAATTCTAAAATTTACCAATATTATGAGCTTTATTAGTGTCTAATCACTTAAAAACCCAGCATAAATGATAAAATATTAATAAAAAAATTTTGGCCAAGTTTATGATTAATAGCGACTAAAAGCATTATTCTGAAAATTTTATCAATATTGTTTAGTGTTCAATTGTAAAATTTATTCAATCTATTCGGTGTAGAAAGAGAAAAAAACCCCTCAAAACCTCCCAATTTTTATGATCACTCAATATATCTTATATCTTATTCTTTGTTAAAAATATTTATTTTAATTAAATTTTTACAGAGAATTTCATTATAGATTTTATTATTAAAATACTTTTAATATAAATAGCATACCTTTATCTAACCATGTATTTATTTTAATACTATAATTTCAAAATATAAATTTATGCAGATTATTATATTAAAAATTTGTTATTAACTATACTAAAAAAATATATAATTACAATAAAATATAAGTAATTCTTGTTGTAACATAACCTTATTTAAAGAATATTATTTAACAAGTATTATTAATACAAATCCTTATATTATCAAAATTTAAATAACTCTTATTGCAAATTCAATACTTTTATTAAAATAAAAAAAATATAAATATCATGACTAAGAATTTATTATAATTAAGTTTTGCATATAAAAATTTTATGACTAAGAACATATTATAATCATATTGCAATTTTATGATTTGAATTTATAAAGTGAGATCTACTTTTCTCTGAGATTTGGCTAATTATCGAAAATCTTATTCCTACCTAGAATAATTTCCTTATTAATATTTTAGCGCTAATTCATTTAAACGGTTTTCACTGGTGCTATTTCTTTGGCCAATGTAAGGTATAAAAGAAATGAGGATTATTATATTTTTTAATATAAGATTTAATATAATAAAACTTTAAATGAATGATATTGCATTAATCGAAAATAACAAAAAATACATTATACATATATTAAATAGAGTACGGTAGAGTCACTACTGGAGCTGACGTCTCCGATAAAACCATTAACATCTGATTAGTAGATTTAACCATTTTCAAATATCAAAACATTATAAACTTTTTGGTATGTATACTTACTTTTTAGATATAGGCTATATAATATAGAAATTATTATTATTTGGCAAAATTTTAAGGATAATATAGCAATAAACCTTGAATACAAAGTTGTACCTAAGGCAAATATTTCATCAAATAATTAATTTTTGGCATCTACTTTAACCTAAAGGAGGAAAGTGTCTATATGGAGATCCATCTAACATTGCTGTGACTTTAGGACGCGATAACTTGTGTTAGTTATCACAAATTTTATCCCAATTTTAAGTTTAGTTTTATATGTATAAGTATTTAAATATCATCTATAAAACTTCTATTATTCAATAAATACCTGATTTGAATAATTAAAGTGGGCGCTAATGTATTTAGCGATCAATTTATAAAATAAAATTTTTAAACCTATTAAAATAACCCCAAAATGTTTTATTGAATTTAAAATATTTAAATAATCCAATTAGAATTAAGGATCTAATATTTGCAAATTTATATTCTATTAGTTTTCATTTCAAATTAGATGAAAACATAAAAACACAATTTCAAATTAAATATTAAAACGTAAAAGAAGAATTAATGTACAGGGCATCAAAATGCTATTAATAAGATCATTATGAAGTTTATTATTCAGAAAATAAGATGATACGTGGTCATGATATCATGTTAACGTAATGATTATCGCTTTAACAGTTATAATACCCCTATATAATCGCGTAAAATTGAATACTGATGCTCAAATCAATAAATGGGATTCCCTTAGATTAACATATGAAACGCTCAGGACTAGTTATTTAATTTGCTAAGAATATTTTTGTAGAGTATTAATTATAATAGACCTGAAATAGATATAAAGTAAACATAAACCGTGTGGTGACTCGTGAGGTCTAAAACAACAATCTTTTTCTATTAATTTTATTTTATAGTTATTCATTATCTTAAATTATAAATGATATTTCATCGAAATTAGCTAATTCATATTAGCGGAATTCTTTCTATCAATTTTGAGAATTTTTATTTGAATATAAATTTTTTTAAACATAAATTTTCATATTCGGATTACCCCTACAAAAGATAAATTCCTAATAAAAATAAATCTTTTTGAAAAAACTCAACCTATTAATTATCTAATAAAATTTTTAATTTCAAATATAGTTGGAATAAATTTAGTGTTCGTAATGTTATAATCCCCTCCGATTAAAATTCGTGTATAATATACTCGAAAAATCTTAGAATCAGTTTTATTTAAAATTTCTGTAAAATAAAAAGTGAAGATTAAATTGAAAAATTATATACAGTAAGTAATTCCGTAAAAATTTGACTTTTTTGGTTTCTTGATAAATGTTGCCATTCCATTATTATAAAAAAATGTATATAAATTCAAACGTTTTTTTATACATATCTTAATAGTATTTTATAAAATAATTTCAAATTATAACATCTTTACTTTAAAATTTAAAACAACCCATCATTTAAGATTGATAATCATGATAAAGATGCTTTTATTTTCTAATATCTTGGTTAAGATATATTATAAAGTTGTTTTTTTAAAATCCCTCGTTATCAATCTAATTAATTTAATATTTTAAATTAGATTTGTAACTTCAAGGCATCGATTTAATTATAATATATATAAATATAAAATTTCCATATTAAAATATTAAGAATTTTTGTCATTATTTTGGATCCAAATTCAAAAATAAAAAAGGATTATTTTTCCACAATACCATATCCTTGTAAGAAAGATGCTTCGCAAATATATCCTTGTTAACATTCTCCTTACGAGGAAATAGTGCCTAAAAAAATTTAATATAATATCTGTATATATTCATCACATAATTTTTACCATTTAAGAAAAAACCTTTGTCCTTTAAATTCGTTATTCTTACTTCTTTATTCATTATTCATGTATTCATAAAAATTATTTATACCTTTTTATCCAATATTTTCTTTAGAATATTACATTGTCTTATTATCCCAAATCTACATAGAGTCTTAAGCTACGTATGTGATAAGTCATGAATTCAAAGTAACCTTTGAATATCAGCTTTTCAATTGCTAATGAGTAATGACTTAATAAAAACTACTGCTTTAATATAGAACATTTTATAAATATTTTTTAAGTCATTAATTTTGTATACCAAAAATGGCCTATTTATTAGAAACCTGCAGAGGTATTATTTGCAGGGCCCTGCCTAAAATTTCTTCAAAACATATTTTCAGGCCTGCATGGATATTTTTAAAATAATTTTTATAATCAATAATGACGATTTAAAATGTTCGGCCCAAGCCCTAGATATTTTTTAAAAAAACTTCAAATCTCGCCTGGATATATTCAGAAGAATTACTGCCAGCCCGGGTACCCAGGTTAAGGGGCCAACACATCTATTTATATAATATGAATCTGTTAAGAAATTTTTATCATTTATTGCAACATTGCCTTCTAAATAAGAAATAATTTTTCTCATTATATTATGTTCCCTAGTAGATTATACTTTAATTTGATAGAAAATAAAAAATAAATGATAAGAAATAATATGTAAATTTAATGAAGAATATAAAGATATCACAAAAATATACATATGTTATATATATAAAAGGGAAAACATCGTTATTCATTTTATGCGATGAGGCTGCCCATGAAGATTATGTAATTAGCCCCGTGACTATGGAGAGTCTTTAGCTTTAGAAAAAGCCTTTGCATGGTTCATTCGTAAATATACGAATGTGTGAGCCAAGTCCCTTGAAAATGGATGATGTACAATCCCCAAAGAGATTATTGTTGTGAACATAATGAGAATAAATATGTATTTTTGTGATATTTTAAAATACCTATTTTAGCATTTCCTTTTTCTCCAGAATGTGTAGTGCATGATTAGATGGAGCCAAAAGATAAATACACGATAAATCTCATACCAGGAATTGACCACGCGTCCAAATAATTTGAGATTATCCGTCAGGACGTTTTCCATAAGATCTGAAAAGACAAGGTTCAAGATCAGAGGAAATTTGAGCTGATATCAAACCTCAACAGATAATAAAATCGCATAAATTATGTCTAAAGACACGATCTTAACAAGAACGACAATGGAGGCTATGTTTTCTATTACCCCAAACGGCAGAACCGCTACCTAAACAAGAGTAGGGTTGGGTTATTGTTAAAATGAAAATACCAATGGCGTGAGTGAGCTCATTGTAATTGTAAATAAACAGAGGTAACGGCTTCAAGGAACTCATGACCAGATCCATTAAGCAGCGAGGAGAATAAAGGACTGTCAGATAACTGCATTCTGGAAAGGTGAGATTCAACGCATGCACTAATGGGCCCATCCCAGTCCTTCTGCTATTTGGTTCCTGGAAGTGGGTGATCAGCTATATCATAGGAGCAAGGAGGATAAATTAGAAATGGTGTTTCATATAAATATTTCCCAAGAAGAGAAGATATTAATTAGGTTAAATATATCTGCTCCCCCCAAAAGTATTAAAGGAATGGATAAGTTTCAAGTATAGTGAGATTCTATAAATTTCGATAGTGGACTACTCTCTTCAAAATTTATAGTTTTAAAATTCGAAAAGAGTATCCAACTGCCAAAAATACTGATATAGATTAAAGCTCATATGAGAAAATGGTTATTATAATAGAATCTGCTAGATTCTATTAATGAGTGTTCTTTAGAAAAGAATCCTGTAGAACAGGGAAAGGGTATTAGTGATCAAGAAGATAAAAAAGAG